AGTGATAAAATAAAAATAAAAATAAAAAAGAAAACATGAGTGAAAACATAAAAATAAAAATTCAAGAAGAGGAACTGAACCCGAGACCACAAAAAAATTTCCTAAAAGCACGTGCCCTAACCAATACGCCTAACCAAATATTTGTTTCAAAGTTCCAAGGCTATTTATATATTTATTGTTATACTATTTCAAAAGAATAAAACATGATATGAAACAAGGATTCGATCCTAACTCATAAAACACCTATTAGCGGAAGAGGCAGCCAGCACGCCACGCGATGCAAAATGTTAGATATGTTAAGGAAATATTATATATTTTCTTACTTATGTGTTGATTTTTTTTTTATTTTTTAAAACTCGTATTGTACTCGAGTGAGTTACTCGGACTGGCCCCATCTATCGGCTCAGCCAAGTGCCGAGTATCTTGGCCGCGTCGTTTTTTGAATTATGCTTCACATTGTCAACGATGCGCTTTGTATCTTCAATATTATTCTCTACTCACAAAGACACTGGCTTCATTCCAAAAGTTTAATTATTAACAATCATTTGGCAGCGGCGACGATGGCTGTAAACACTAATCTTCAATATCATTCGGCAGTGGCGACAATGTCTAGAAACCACCACCTCTAATTCCTACTCACTTAATTTTGATAGATGTTCATTCGGTAATCCAGGTGCAATTGGTTTCGAGGGACTAATTAGAAATAATTTGAGCCACATCATTTTTTCCTAGTCGGGTCCTTGCAGTATTACAACAATAAATGAAGCTGAATATCAAGGTTTATTAGAAGGACTGAGATTGATTTCTAGTTTGGAAAGAGGTAGGATTATCGAAAGAGATTCGACAAATGTTATTGCCTGGAGTAAAGGTGAAACCAATATCCTTGGAGCTTAAGGAATATATTTCATGAAATTAAGGATACTTTATCAAGTACTAATGCTGCTCTTCAACAATGCTATCGTGAGGCTAATGAAACGGCTTATGCTCTTACCAAAGGAGTCTACTCCCCTACTTTGATGGTCACTTCTTTTTAGTGACATCTTGTTTTTATTGTATATCTTGTATTTTTCTTATGTTAACCGTCAAGAAAAGAGTAATGGTCCACCTTGCATGTTACCTTAGGTTCCCTTTTGTGATCACTGGGGGTCAATTCTTGAGGCCAAGCCCATGTGCCCCTCATTAATCCATTTAAATCCTTCCTTGTTGGGCCTCATGAACTTGGATTAGGATGATTAAGGAATAATTAGGACTTAATTAAGGTTCGGAAGTTGATTAGGGAAGTTTTGGTAAGTCTAGGTAGTTGAAGTAGGCTTACGATCTAATGAACGTGAATTTTATTAATGAAGCGGCTTATATGGAATTTTAGCCATGTTTTAAAATGTTTTTTTACAAAGAGACTATTTATCTTTTGTACATAGAAGTCACAATTATTCTTGTCTCTTAAATTTCAAATGGGTAGTTGTAAGAGTGTCATTAAATAGACAAAAAGTTTCCAAAAAAATATTATTAGACTTCATGACTTATCCCAGGCCGTCTAATTTGACATCTAATGAGTAAAAATGATTGTGACATCTATGTACAAAAGATACATGATCTCTTAATAGACAATCCCATGTTTTAATGTGTTTCACAATAATGCTTTTGAGTGAAGTAACATAGGTAAAAAGTTTATTTTTTATTTTGGTTTTAGTTTTAGTTTGAGGATCTTGCGTAATTTAATTAGACAAGAAAACATAAGACGTTTGCAAGCTAGAAAAGAAAGAAAATTAGGGAGACCAGAAAAACAAGGGTGTTACACACTCACTCCCCGTTTTTCGATTTTTTCTACGACACCCTCACTCTGGATCTTTAGATTCAAAGTCATAACTTGTTTAATAACTTTGGATGTTGAATATTTGAAACAATTTTTTTTTAAATAACAATTTTAAACCTTCAAGGTCTGAAGTTAATGACTTCCAAAAAAAAACGTGTACCGCCTTTGGTAGTTATCTAATAATAGACTTCAAATTCTTTATTCTTTGGCTTTAGACCTAGAAAATATGAGGCCAAGAGATGATTTCAAATCTTCAAGATTCAAAGTTATAAATTTTTTCAAAATTGATTTAGATCTTGAGTCTTCGAAGATATGAGTTACGGCATCCTAGAAATAAATAAAAAATAAAAAAATTAGGTTATTTTTTAGATAATTAAGTGGGAAAAAGATCTTTACCCGTTTTTTCATATAGACTAGGGAGTGAGCTTTTAACTAGATAGCCCCAGTTCCTTTCTTAAAATTTTACAGAATGAAAGAAAATAGGTGCCAATGAAATATACAACATTACAGCTTTTTGACTGATTTAAGGTTGGTGATATGGCGTGGGCGAAAAAGCTTTATTCTCTTTTTGTTTCTAAGAAAAAAAAAGACAAAAAGTCCATTAATTAGGTTTAGGTTTTAGGTGTGACAACTAAAACGGAAGATTTCCACATATAGAGCCCTCTCATAAAACGCTTTCCCGCCCCTTTGTCCCTTTCCCATTATTATTAAACACAAGGGGACAGTCTTCTACCGCGACCTTCGAACTTTACCGGCGCAATCAGAAGCTCTTCCGGCTAAACCAGAGCCTCTACCGGCCAAACCAGGAGCTTTTTCCAGCATCAATGGTTTCCTCGGAAGCCCCATCCATCGAACCCTACGAGCTCAAGCAAACACTCACAGGCCATAAGCGAGCAATCTCAAACGTCAAGTTCTCCGATGATGGTCGCCTCCTTGGTAGCTCAGGCGCTGATAAAACGATAAGGATTTGGTCCTCTTCTGATGGTTCACTTCGCAAAGAACTTGAAGGCCACAGTGAAGGGATTTCTGATTTCGCATGGTCCTCTGATTCTCGCTTCATCTGCTCTGCTTCTGATGATAAAACAGTCAGGATTTGGGACGTTCAGACTGGTTCTCTTCTGAAAACTCTTCAAGGTCACACTAACTATGTGTTCTGTGTTAACTATAATCCGCAGTCGAATATGATTGTTTCTGGTTCTTTTGATGAAACGGTTAGGGTTTGGGATGCAAAAACTGGGAAGTGCTTGAAGGTTTTGCCTGCTCACTCTGATCCTGTGACTGCTGTGAATTTCAATCGGGATGGTTCTCTCATTGTTTCGAGCAGTTATGATGGGTTGTGTAGGATATGGGATTCGAGCACGGGCCATTGCACAAAAACCCTAATTGATGATGAGAACCCTCCGGTGTCGTTCGTTAAGTTCTCGCCCAATGGGAAGTTTATACTCGCTGGAACACTTGACAATACACTGGTACTGTTTTTTCTCCCTCTGATAGTTTGTAGCTTTTGGAAAGTACACTGTTGCTGTGCTTTCTCCCCATCTATCAGTCTACTTTCATTAGATTTTGGACGGTAAAGGAATGGATGCCTTGTACTTTAATTTTTGACAATGCATGGGTACCGTGTTTTTTCTCTAATTTTCAAGTCTTTTGTTGTTTGAACTTAAGGTGTGAATTCTGTATTTTTTTTTTCTTGTGTGTATTATTGGGTCATCCTTATTTAATGGGATCTATTGGGTTGGAAAGCTGAAATCTTGACTCTAATTCTGTTTTCTTTTCCGTAATACGTTATATTTCTTCTCTTATTTTTTGTGATTTTTCTTTTCTCTTTGTTTCCAGGTTGTTCTTGATTTAGTAGGCGTTATTGGGCTTGAAATTTCAACATTTCACTGTCTGTCTCCTTTTCTCTTTGGATTTTAAAGGAATATCTTTTTCTTTTCTTGTCTTTTTTTTTCCTTTCCGTTTGTTCTTAATTCGAGTGGGATATTGGGCTTTAAAGGTAAGACTTGGTACTGGTTTTGTTTTTATTTTATTTTATTTTTATTTTTTGGTTAAATTTATCTTTTTTTCTCCTCTCTTTCTCTCCTTGATATTGGTCGACACTCATAAGCTTTTAAAAGTAATTTGTCACTAGTTTTGTTCTTTAATAAATTTTTGATTTAGATTTCTTGTGATTTTACCCAACCAAACTAGCTTATTCAGTAGAGGAATGCATTAGGTTTGATGCTCATGTGTACAACCTTTGTTGTACCTGACCTGCTTGCCATATCTGAATTAGAGATTGCAGTATGTTTTGTTGAAATCATGAAGATTAGGAATATCCGCCGCAATCTCTAGACTCTAGCTGCCTGCTTATTACAAGTCATTGATTTGCTTTTTGTTGAGTGCATGAAGAGGAGGTATGAGTGCGAAGAATAGGGATGCATATGTGGATCTGATTTTTAACTGAATGGGACACAATGTTTCACAATGGAAGGATCTTGTACCATTGATATTTGGTGATTCGATATTCTAGTATTGATTTGGAGTGTTGGAGCTATCTGAGGACTGGATTTAAATTGCTTGTCCTATGTACTGGATTTAAATTGCTTGGCCTCATGACTGCGTTAAAGCAACAAAGAAAAAGGAGATGAATCCCATGGCTTTGTATTTGAGAACTAGTGCTTGATTTTGCTTCCAATGAAATGGACATCTGGAACCCTGCTTGCTAGCTCTATTTCCCTTGCATTTTATGTCACATTTCCAATTGGAATTTATTCATGCATGGATCAATGCTTATTGATGAAGTTTATTGCATGAATCAGTAATCAATAATATGAATCAATGCCTATTGATGTAATGGTTTAACTCTGAAATTAATTTCTATTAGTCGGCTAATTTATGAAAACTCTGTGACCTTTTCTCTTCATGACGTTTGTCTTTTTCAAGAACATGAAAATGGGAAGCTGATTGTTAGATGGACATTCTTTTATACCTAGACTGTCTATTGTAAAAACGGGCTAAATGTCACAACTTATTTCTACAATTTTGAGAATAGAACTTTGCTATATAGCTACATTTGATTCTGTCTATTTGAATGTCAGGAGCCCATTTTCTGTAATAGATTGGGCAAACAAGACATTGCAACACAGTTGTGTCGATTTAGCAAGCATGTGTATCTGGACATCTTATGATTTGGATTTTGGACATGTATATTTGATTTGGACCCATATGTTTTATTTTTTTAAGTTAATTATATTATTAAAGGCATAAATTAATGTTATGAATAAATATATAGACACGTGTTGTATGGACTTATACAAACATGTCGTGCTAGACTTGGCACAAATAGTTAGGTGACTTGGATTCTTCAAATTTGAATCAATGTTGATTCTCGTATCCATGTCCTTGAACATAGGGATGAAGGTATTCTATTATGTCTGTTGACACTAGATATACATGCATTTTTTTCAAAAGAAAAAATTGTAGTTTATGATCTCTTATATTTATTTATTGTTTTTTTTAAAATCTTCAACAACGAGTTTATGATCTCTTTATTGCTTTTTATAAATGATTCAGTCAGAGTTTTGGAAACTCTACTGAAGCAATTGATTCTGAAAAGTATCCATAAAATAATACATACTGAATTTGGTGGGATGTATGTTTGTTTTGTTTGATGATAGCATATGAAGGTTGAAAAAGTGCCGGGCGGCACGGGGCGCCTAGGTGCTAAGCTAGGCCTGCACCCAAGGTTCAAGGTGCCTTGACAACAATATACACATATTTTTAAGCATCTGCAGTTAAAAATATGTGTATTTAAGCATCTGCATTTATTTTAACTACATATATATGCAAACATATTCCCCTGAATGCTGTAAAACACATTGAAATAATATGTATCACATTTTACAATTGTAGTAAATCACTAGGCACTTAGTAATATAAGATTAAATTAAGTTAATTAACTAAGGGTAAAATTTTGAAAGATTTGATACTTTCATATCCATAAAGTAATAAAAGTACTCAAATACTGAATAACGGAATGAAATACAAGTCCACAACCTCAGGTCCATAATTCATAAACTCGAATCTCATAAACATTCCAAAATCCAAAGTTCCACGATATAGTGAAAGTCATAAAAGTAAAATGATACAATAGAAATTCAAAAGAATTTAGTCTTCAAACTCATTAAAAGGTGCAGTTTATAATGATTTATCAAGCTTCTCAAAAACTTTTAGCCTCATAAAATTTTCATAAATCCAAGGTTTTTGATTTGTTTGTTTTTTTTTGGGGAGAAACTAATGTATGAAAACCAACTTTGAGGGGTTTAAAGTACCCCATTCCACCATCCCTTTCCCTTTAAAAAAGTGGATAGGCCTTTAAAAAAGTGGATAGGAGGGGGGCATTTTCAAAAAACTTTTTCCCTTTAAAAAAGTACCCGAGGGCATTTTCTGCCCTTAGGCAAGGGAAAAGCCTGCCCGGGCACCTAGGCTAGGCGCTAGGCACCCGCCTAGGCCGCCACCCGGGGTCAGGCTGCCTAGGAAGGGCTGTATAGGCCTAGGCAGGGTTCCTAGTCCTTGATGCAGGGCAGGGAGGCCACCTAGGTGCTAGGTGAACCCTTTTTTTTTTTTTTAATTATTTTAACACTGGCATGTATATTTCCGAAATTTTGATAGGTTTGGATTAATGGAATGGTATGGTATATAATGGAAGCTTCATTCCATACTTCTAAGACCCCATGTAAAAGTATTTTTTGGGAAAAATCTGTTTTAAAGACTTGACCTAATATCTAAGGTTTCTATTTTGTTTAGTCTTAATGCCTCATCCACTGAATGTCTTACTGGAAAAAACTTGATTATGCTTGTTTTTATATCTTTGGCCGTGTTTATTTTTGTTCTATCTCCTACCTCTGAAATACAGAATTGTAATTCTCAATTAATTGAATATTTGTTTCTTAGCACACATATGGTTTATAGGAGTTATGTGGTCGGAACTAATAAAATTTATATCTTTCATCAAGTCTCTTTCTCAGAAGGAGTTTTCCACTTGGTTCTTCTGATAACCTGTCATTGTCATACATGTTTCGCTAACCTGTCGTAGCTCCAGAGACTGACATGACATGTCCTTTAAAAGATTATGTTAGACATAATGAGAGCAGTAATTCTTCTATGCCTTTCTTTCCCAAAAAAAATAGAAAAAAAAAAAACTGCTTATAGGTTTTGATAGATGGTAGAGGCACAGGTGGCTCCCTCCCATAGATGTTACAGATTAGTCTTCTAAAGAGAAAACACATTAGGCACCTCCTTTCCATTCTCTTACTAATGATTTTGTTGAATGGTCTTCTCATTTTTCTATTCCTCATATCCTTTATGATTTTGATTCTTCTTTTAGTGCCACACTGCTTTTTATTTCTTTGATCTCAGTTCAAGAGCCTTCTACCTACAAGGTTTCCTTGGAACATTTCTGTTAGAGGCAAACTGTAATAAGAAATTGAGGCTTTAGAACCAAATGGCTCTTGAGAACCTCTACTTCTTCTAGCAGGCAAGGCATTCAAAGCTGAAACCTTAGCAGGTTGTGCATACTGCAATCATTACATATATTGCACATTTGGTCGACAAATGGTGTACTCAGGATTATGGAATCCATTAGCTATTTTGACAACTACAGGAGTTCTCCTGTCTATTGTTGTGAGGAAATGTAATGTATCCGCTTCAGATACCAGTGATATATTTTTGAGTAAACCAGATACTGCTGATATAACTCGCGCTGTCTTCTCAACAAGGCCTTAAGCAAGTTGCTGGAGCTTGGTTTGACTATCACCGACTCCTGGATTGCTCATTTTTCTTTTCATTGTCAAGTGGCAAGTCAGTTACACTTCTTATGTATGTGGACATTGTGAATTAAACACAGTCTAGCATGACTACTTTCTCAAAGGTAGAACAGATATGACAACAAGAGTTTTAGTTGAAAGATATGGGATCTCCCTCATATTTTCTGGTTCTCTAGTTTACAAATGCCCTCCTGGGTTATAATGTTCTCAGTGGAAGTGCATACACAATCTTTGTCTTGAGAACATATGTAATGGGCACTGTAAGAACTTAACGTGTAGCCTTCAGCTTGTGATGGTGGTTGCTGGTTGATTTTACCAATTGTTGGAAATTGGTTGGGGGTCTATAATGGGTACTCATATGCTTTCAGAAGATTCTATTGCTTTATGGCTCAACAGAGACATGTTACGGTATACATATTCAGAAAGGCAGAATGTGGGACTTTCTATTGCTTTATGGCTCAACAGAGACATGTTACGGTATACATATTCAGAAAGGCAGAATGTGGGACTTTCTTTGAGTTTCTGTTGACATCAATTTGGCACATGGTTTTTCTATCAAATCCTGGAGTTCAGATCTCTTCATCTGCATTTACCGATCTCTTCATCTGCATTTAATCTAATAATTCATGATAGGAGAAAACATATTGAAGTGGATTATTCAC